TCTACATGGTTGGCCGGGTTAAAAAATGAAGCTAATCCTTAGACTACAAAATCTAATCACCTATCTATTTTCAAATCTTTATAAAATATAACAGTGAATTTTAAAATGATTCACCACTTTCATTTAATTTTTTTAAAATTATTTTTGATTGCATTTCTAGTTAGAATTTGAAAAATTCAAATATAATTTTAAAAAAAATATGAATTTGACCCATAAATGGTTATATAATATTTTTAGTAGGTGTAGATTGGAATCTTAATTTAATTTTTAAGAGAATTAATAACCTTGGCTTTTTAAATTTTTAGCAAAATAAGCCCCTTTTTATTGTTATAATTAATTTAACAATTTTTTAAAATCATTCCAATTGTTTAAATAAAAATGAAAGGCTTGATTTAATAAAGTTGATTTTATTATATCATATCAATATCATATATAAATATTTCATTGACAAATTATTTTCAAAATAATAATAATAATAATAATTAATTGCATTTTTCATTCTAATTTGTAAGCAAAGAAAAAAATCTCCTTTTTTTATAATCGTAATTTAAAAAAATATTTAATATAACTTATTTATATAGAATAGATTATATTATATTATTATTCTAAAAATCAAAAAATAGCATAAAACTGAGAAGAAAATAAGGAAGGAAGAGTAAGTCTGGGAAAATTCTTAGAAAGTAGACTGCTTTTGGGCGAATTGTAGTTTGCTTTAAGGATAGCTATAGCCAGTTTCTTGCGAGGGCTATTGATATGGGATCCCAAATCTTTGAAGATAGAGAAAGAATTGTCGAAAGGTGTTTAGGTTTTGAATTTTTTTTAGATTCCAGTCGTAATGATAGTTACGAATCATAAGCCATTTCAAAATGAGGACTATATTCAATTTTTTTAGAAAAAAAACCTTAAAAGAAAAAGATGAAAAACTAATATTATTTTTATAAAAATCTAACCTAATCAAAGGCCTACAATAAGTAGACTTAAACACTCCGATATAATTTCTTAGGAAAAGGCCCATCTAAGAGTGCACCACTCCCTCTTAGCAAAATCCTGGCTAGGCCTATGATACAAATTATTGTATATAAGGCGAAGCAAATTGTTGGGAGATGGGGGGGGGGGTAAGATAACAAACCTAAACCCCTTCAGTAATTTATAAATTGTCGCTCATAACTACCCCCCCCCCCATATAAGCACGACTTCGATGCTTAGGTTATCACATATTGATTAATATAATATTCTGAACAAATAAAAACTTAAAAAGAAAAACCAAGTGGGGTAGGGAGGGGGCGTTCAAATTAGAAAGGTTGTTGTTAAAATAAAAATATTTTGATCTGTAGCAGAGATCTACAAAGTCAGGTCACTTTCGTCCGGTCAAGATTATTTGCACAAATTACCCGATCCGTTATTTAAATGTTTACCCGTGTACAGGGAAATTTTTTGTTCTAGTTTTTCGGTCCGGCTCGTTTTTAGGCACGGATCAGGGAATGATATTGTTATGATAAGTTTCCCACCTAGCCCGAACCATCGTAAGTTTTTTGGATAATTCCGCTCAAACACAATTAGATATAAAATAGAGTGTATGAATCAAACAGAAGTTTACATAGAGAAATACCATATAATGTGATTGTTTTAATAACAAAATGATAAAAATAAATTCCAAATAGATGATATTAAATTCGGTAGTTTATTCGCCCAGAGAAAACTATCCCAAAATTTTTCAAATCGTTTAAAAGTTTTTTTTTTAAATAATCTATAACACTATAGACACATGAATTTTCGACGACTATAATGAAACATTCTTATGATATTATTTAGAGTTTGAAATGCTCTAAAAATCTTCACAGATTTTGATCTCAGAAGATTTTTTATTATTTTTTTTTGAAAACACTCAAACAAGTTCTTTGATCAATTTTACCCAAAATACTAAATCATTTCATTATCAAATCTTTTAGTTCTGTAATTTTTATGCATAAAACTAGTATTTCAATTTTGTGATCTTCAATAAAAAATTTTTTTAATTTTTAGCAAATAAAAACTACAAAAAGAATCAAAATAAAATAGACATCAATATAAAGAATTAATCATTAGTTTTTTAAGTTAAAACATTCAATAAATCGAAATCATCCAAATATTACTATTTTCTATACCAAATATTCTCTATCAAAAGAGCTATTCTAAGATGTTACTAGATAAATATGAATTAAAAAAATGATTTCTAAACTTTTTAAGATAAATATAGAACCAGAAATAATAAAATCGAATTATATCTTGCATACAATCAGGGTTGCCAGATGTCACGATTTAGCCGTGATTCTCACTATTTCATACCTAAATTTTTACTTACCCACGTTTTCTCACATTTCACGCTTTTCTAACGTTTTTTGAGTAAATTAAAATAATCACACTTAGTCTCACACTTTTTCTCACGTTAATAAATTTTTTCAAAATATTTTTAAAAACAAATATAAAATTTTAAATTAATTTTATTTTAAAATTTTAAAATTTTTTTTAGTATTTGTTAATAGTCCAACTAACCAATCATATTCATTGACCAATTACCCACAACACAAATTCAATTTTTAGAAAGTTTATCAAGTATAATTATAATATGAATAATAACTATACATTTCTTTTATGGATTTTATAAATCTTATATTAAAACTCGTAAAATTTTAAATGAAATAAATTAAGGGCAAATATTATAAAAGATCTAAAAAACAATCATCCGTTTTCAATACTAACGGATGCATAGAATAAAGGTAATATAAAAACATCTCCCTTATTACTTAGATACTTCAACAAAAAGAATGGAATTAATGTTTAATTACTTAAAAATTTTTCGTCTGACAGTGAAACAAAGACATATATAGATGCTTGCTAGAAAATTTAAAATTCGCTAAATTTGATGCTAATGTAACGGCGTTCTCCTTAACGTTGGCACTTTAGTCAATAACATAAATGTACAATTGCAATCTGAAGATGTATTAGCAATATATATACATGATCTTATCTTAAAACTGAAGATTTCATTTAATTTAAAAATTCAACAAAATTTTTATGGGAGCATTTCTAAAAATATTTTACAACATAATAATGATGTAGAGGTCAAAAATGAATCAAAGATATTTATAAAAAATATTATATAATATCTAGAAAAACTGATATGTTAGATAATATATGGAAATATCTTAGCCCTATGACATTAAAATAATGTCCAGAATTTGAACAATTACAAAAAATTATTAGTAATTATAAAATACCAAACATAGATACAGAAATTCTCTTTAAAGAATATTCACAATTTTATTCCTATTATGATATAAATATAAAAAACAATCACATGAATACCCCCAAAAAATGGATGGATTTTCTTTCTAATAAAAATTCACCATTGATAGAGAAAATATGCAATTTTATATTTTCTATTCCGCATTCAAATGTTTCATCAGAGATAATATTCAGTCTAATGACTACTGCTTAGCGAAAAGAACGTCATCATTGGGGGCTTAACTTATAGTTAAACAAAATATAACTATTCATGCAAAGAGTTTTCAGCCTATCTCTACCCGATGGAAAATCTTTATTGCCTCTTTTAAAATCATCCATAAAATATAATAATTAATATTATGCTATATTTATAAATATGAGAAAAAATTATACATCATAATAATTGCTATTAGCAAATCAATAAAGAATTTTCATTGTCTTTAAAATCTTGTTATATTAAATATAACATATTAACTTAGATGGGTATGCTACATCTATTAACCCGGCCGAAGGCCCGCAAATTGGGGGTATTGGGGGCGAAGCCCCCCATTAATTATTATAAAAGAAAAACTCACGTTTTCAAGTGAAGAATATATGGCAACCCTGCATACAATACAATAAAGTTTATGTTAAAATATAAAATAATAAAGAAAACAATGAAATTATTGAAAGAATCGACGAAAAAAATAACTGTCTGCACAATGCTCGTTTAGGCCGTCATAAAGAAATTGTAAAGGCCCCATTGGATTTATATCACATGGTTTGAAAGAAAGGACTGTAAATCAAGGTGTATAAATTCCTTATAATTTTGGGTAGAAAAAAAGTTGAATACTTTACATCTTTTAATTATGTAAGGCTATTAAAATTAGAGGTCTGCAATGGGTGGGTTTTAGCCCTCCCGCGTTTTATACGGGCGGGATTTCTAAAAGATTATTAACGTTGGGCGAGTGAACGGGAGGATTTATTTTTTAAAACAATGGTGGCCGCTATTTCTAAATCTATTAGCCATGTTGAAATTTCCGAGGTGCCTGACTAATTGAAGATTTTAAGGATGAACCTTTTTTTTTTAAAGTTTCCCATAAATTTTATTTACGCCATTGCCATTCATAGTGAAATGATAACTTTATATATTTTTTTTAAAAAATCAAAATCTTGATGGTAATATGAGCTTTTGTAATGAGCAAACATTGTAAATCCGGAAAGAAAAAATATGTTAATTTTTTTAAAAAAAATCTGACAAGATAAAAATCTTATGTAATTTGAAAAAAAATGAAGGTGTCTATTGTATTTGAGTGCAAAGGTACCCCGGTTCATTTTGTAAATAAAGATATATATGTGTTAACGTTTTAAAATTAAAATAACCTTTAAATTTTAAATAAAGTAAACTAAACAAATAATATAGGACAGAGCATAAATAGCTGCCTGATAATTAAAGTAAATGTTCGATTTACTAGCGTCCAATTTTACGATATTCTCATTCTAATATTTTTTTTTGATTATTCGAAATAATATTCGCGAATATCGAATAATCAAAAATTTACTGAATCAAATATAGAGTTTCATATAGCGTACAAATTAGGCAGGTTTTTACTTGTAAATAAATAAATAAAAATAGATATCGTTGCAAAATTTTTGTATAAATTTTTTTTTTAAAACCGCAGAAAATAATTATGTATTTTGGACATATATTTTTTTTAATAACCGGAAACAATTATTTTTATTATTTAATTTTTTTAAAAATCTTCTGCTTTATTATTTTTTATTTTAATAAATTTTTATTTCTTTGGGGTTTTTTTTGTTCTGGAAAAATAAAAGAAAATTATTACATTTAAATATTCATATCGTTATTATTATCTCTTTCATATAAAGGTAAAAACTTTTTTGATATTCAATTTTATTTTACCTATTTATGAAGAATTAAGGAAGGAAAGAAATTTTTGAGTCAATAAAACAGAAACCTGTTATTGTTATAAGTGAAATAAAAATTATAACGTCCTCTTGGGCTAGGTCTAAATATCGGATTTTAAATTACGTTTCAAAAAACATCTAAACACATAAAGTAAATTTTTCCTAGGTTCAAAATATTTTTGAATATTATGGATTCTACTATCTTTATAGACATTATTCTATTCGGGTTATTTAATATGAAATAAAATAGTTAAAATCTCGTTATATTTTCAAAAAATTGATACGAATCTGAATTTCATTCAGGCGAAGCCATAAACTTGTAGTTTGCTAAGCTTTTGATAGCACTAATTCTAAGCGTAAGCCAACAAATAATATGTACCTTAGTTGATTTTTGTCTTGTATAATATAACTATATATCTCTGGCTGTAGCTTGCATAACAGTGGAAATAGCGTAAAAAAATCTTTGAATTGGAAGATGTGAAGTTCAAAATGGGATGAATTGTTTAGGATGAAATTAGGAATCAATATAAATGTATTGAACACACAAAATTGGCCCTAAATCATGTTTAATTGTTTATAAGCTACTATATAAGCGATTGGCGCAATTATGGGAATCTTTTTTTCTAAAATTTGATAACACAAAAGCGAAATTGATATTAAATTGGGTAGGGCCCCTTTAACAATTTTTTAGAAGAGGGGAATTATGACAAAAGAAAGATCGCCATTAAAAGGTAATTTTTTTTCGCAAATCTTTGTCTAGGTTTCTTTTTTTTCCCTATTTTTAAGAGGATTGATATTCTTTATTTGAGGTGGGGTATGATCCATAGCAGAGGTCTGCAAAGCCCTACCCCTTATATTTTTCTCAAGGCCCGTTATAATTATACAAAAACCAGACCCGGTTTGTTAGAATTTTAATCCGGGATTGATAACTCGTACAAAGATTTTTATGGGGCCAGGTTGCAGACCCCAAATACCTAAAAATTTTCAATGTCAATTAAGGGCTCTTATATCTCCCCACCATATAAATAAATTTTTTAAGATATTCTAAAATTAGCTTGAAATTTTGAAAAATAATATAATATATCAAAATTATAATGACCGGCTTGTACAAATTTACAAAAATCATAGATTTGCGAGCATAATTTTTCAAGTATATTGTCCGGCCCGGCCCAGAATTTTATTATAAAAGAATTCTCGGACTTGTTATAATTGAAAAGAAATTTGCCAGGCTTTACAGATTTCTGATCCATAATAAAAAAATTATGGCATTTGGTTTTAGTAGCAATTTTATTCAAAATTGAAGACTTTATGAGGTTTTCTTCATTTTATTATTTATAAATAAAACTTGCGAGGCAATATCTCACTTACATAGCATAACTTCAGTGTCGCGTAGTATTGTTGTTTTTTCTTATACAAATCATAAATTTTAAAACATCACATTGTAATTTTATATTTATTTTTTTTACTATTAAAACGGTACTTTATTTAAAATAATTATCTTTATACAATAACCTATTTATTTATTTTATACAACATTTTATAAAATAAAAAAAATATAAAAATTTCAGGAAACAGATTTTATGAAATTGAAGAAATCTTTTTATATATATTTTTTTTTAAATACAAATAATTAATAAAAAAAAATACGTCACTTCCTGTTTCTTTCATAAAATCTGTTTTTTTTTCTTATTTAATTTTTTTTAAAAAAATTTAAATTGCAATATTGTAATACGAATTTAAAATAAATAATTTAATTTATTTTTACGCATCTACTACCGTCCCGTCGTTCCCCACAAAATTATCAATGGATCCAAAGGCCTAGAAACTAATAAAATATAAAAATGTTTATTAATATTTATTTACTTTACATCAAATTTCAAAATGTTACTGTTCTTATTTATTTATATTATTTAAATTTTTTTTTTGATAATATACATAATCCATTTTTTTCACCTATCCCTTTTTTTTCTAAAAAAAATAATATTATTTTTAATTTTTGTTGAGATTATTTCAAAAATGCGAAATTTCTAGTTTCATTTTTTTATCTGGTCAAATTACGCAGTTTTAATTTAATAATTTAATACAATATAGTGGTTTATTTATTATTTATTTATTTATAAATTTTTTATTAATAAGTACGCTATAAAAAAAATATTTTATTTGAATAAAATAATTGTGTTAAAGGTAATTTATTCATAAATTATATTATTGCGATTTAACGCATTCAAAAAGTAATTATTTTGAAATTAGTTTTTTTCTAAAATGCTTTCAAATTTGAGCAGTTTATAAGCGCTGCGTTTTTTTATTCTTATAAAACGCATCCTTGTCAATTCGATCAATTATTTTTAACCACTATTGAATTGTAATCTAATTTTCATTCTTGTTAAAACTAATAGATATATGGGAAAAGATGGAGAAAAAAGACACAAAAATTATCTTCCATTTTCGAAGGAATCTGCCCGTCAAGCGCCTCTATCACTTGACAACTATCGCGTATCGCCCAGTAAAAAGAATTACTATACTCAAACTTACCTTTCAAAAAAGCCATCCATTCTTTTAGGCTCCTCGGCAATTCTCAATCACGCAGCAGTTTCCGCGGAAAAGGAGGAGACCTTCAAAAATGCTCAAACGAGTCATTACGATCAGGACGACACAAACGTGCAAGAATACCGTGAATATAAAAAACATTCGCTTTCAAACGGTTTAGAATTTTCCTACAAAAAATCATCCATCGCCACAAGGCAAGTGCCTTCTATTATCCCCCGAAAATCGGTATTATCGAAAACCTTTTCCTTTTTAAGGTTTCATCGGCGCTCCAAAAATATACCGCCCCTACCTCCTCCACGCTTCTATCATAATCGTTCTATTAATAATATAAATTTCGAACCTCCACCAAATTCCGACAAAATATCTCAAGAAAAATTACTCCGGATACCGGAGCATATTGGCAAACCCAATCACCTCTATCGCGATCCCCTTAACCAATCATCACCGATTCACATTTGCCCCAAATGCGGGTGGCATTTTCGCCAAAATATGCCGCAAATTCTAGTACCACCCTTGCCATTGCCACGCTTGAATAATAACCCTCCTAATCATAATATTCCTAATCGGCGGCTTATTTGCGGTAATCGTATATTGTTAACCTCAGACACCATCGTAAACTTCGTCTCCTGCATGTACCCGTTAAATTTCGCCCTATATCATTTTTCATCGCCTAACGATATTAATGATATAATCGATTTTTCTTCCGTCACTGATTCCTCCTTGGAAGAAAATGACGACGAATCAGAAGAGAACTACAAAAGAAAAAAAAATAGCAGGAAGCGGAGAGTTCGAAAATCATTAATTGTGACATTTTATTCTATTTTATGCCCATGCGCATTACTATACTGGCCTTTAAAATTAATTGAGGCGATATACAAAGCCGCCCGACGTAAATTAACGGCCATGAAAATAGCCCGTAACAATGGGACTTGCCCTTATCATTATTCCAATTAGTCGACAATTTTCAAAAACAGAATTCTGGCATATGCGTTTTGAATGTAAGTGAAATTTTTTAAATTTATACTGCCTAGACTGACGATTCATTTATTTAAATATATAATCTTCAAATATTTTTTATTTCGAAGAGAATTTCAATACCACCCATTCCATTTACTATTTTAATGATAGTCAGTATAGGTGAGTAAGCAATATATAAGGTAACTAATATTGAGTTAATTTCTTATTTTTTTAAAAAAAGGGAGTTAAATCAGGGAAATTGAAATGAACTTTCAAATTTTCAGGACCTTTGCGTCCATTGCCGACTTGTGCTTAAAGACAAAAAAATGACAAAATCACAGATTTTTTATAAATATAATACTATAATATAAACCAAAGATTTGACAAACAAATATGTATTAGGAATTGTTATTAAAAAACTCACTCAAAAAATCCCTCTTCGTCAATCGTCAATATCACGTCAAATTTTTTATTTTTGTATAAACTTATTAATATTTTTGTAAAATAAAACACCCATTTATTTATCAGTATTTTATAATATATTATATGTAAAAATAAAACAAAAAAAATGTATTTGTAGTAATTGTTCCATAATATATTTTAAAGCAGAAGGGTTTAATGTTGTATTTATTTCTAAAATACCGTTTCGTTGATAAAAATTATATATTTTTAAAAATGAAAAACAAAAAATTTTAAAAGAAAAACACCATGTAAGAACTATAAGAAAAGTAGTTATCATCATGGTAATAAAGATGATGGTCGCCCACTTTGTAACTCTTTTTGGATCAATAAGTAATTGACACTATATTTCAAATATTTTACCTAAGGTTGTATCAAAACTTATTTCAAAAGTTTTAAAACTCGAATCTAATGATAAAGTTTTGAATATTTTTTAAATGTTTTATCATATTTTTATATTTAAAAAAAATGTTCGACATGGCCTAAATTGTGGACCCAAGTCTAATGTGCAACCCTAAATCATATTAGAATGCCGGATTAAAAAAAAATCCACTAACGTTTGAAAAATCAAATATCTTCCATTTCAGTTCTAATACCAGGTTTCTTGGCCTTTAACGCTAATGACTACCCTAATTAGGTAGAGTTCGACAAAGATTTCATTCTTTTATTTTACACAAATACTATAGGTCTATAATAAACAGCGGTCTCATATGGTCTATTTTATTGTCTCGTTGGAAAACAAAATCCTATTGTGGAAGCTATAAATCAATAGAATCAATAAGCCCCATCGATATATATTTGGCTGAAAATAATTTTAAAAAACATGCTACCTAGATCTTTTCTCGTCATAAACAAATTTTAGTGTCATCAACTTGGATTTCATATACCACATATCTACAATTGAGGAGTCAAGCGTAAACTTGTTTACATCACCGAATAATTATTTGTATCCATTTGGACTGTTCATTTATTTGAGCCTTTTTTTACTTGCCCTTTACAAAAGGTAAAAATCGATAAAGATTTTTAAGATCTAATAGAAGGATTCATTTTTTTAGCAATGAATTTTATTCGAAAATAATACCATACGTGCCATCAATGTCTATTTTTCTATAATTTTTTCAAACATCTTAAATCTCGTTGGGTTGTTACTTCTAAGATTGGTTGTAGGTTGTGTATATTTTAGATCCATATATGATATCACGAATTTCTTCACTAATAAATAATCAACATTTCAGAAATTTTCAGTCATTGGATCCCACGGTTTATAAAATCTGATTTTTTTTAATTTAAAGGAGTTGAATAACCGCCCATAATTTTATCAAAATATAAATTAAAATATGTAACACAAAATAATATAAGGAGACGATATATTAAACACAAAAACAACAAATCTTTAAAATTATTTGATTATTAATTTAACGATATAATTAATATATTACCCTTTATAGAACATATACTAAACCTCTTAAATAGATGAAGACTTATCTTAATCCCCTCTATATACAATTAATAGCTATGAAAAGAAAACATAAATTGAATAACAGGTTAAAGTTAGTAGATTAGACACTATTATATTACTTAAATAAAAAAATATATGATAATATCCGTAATTTCAGCCATAGTTAATAAGGGGTCTTCCAGGCATTCTTATTTCAACATGCGTTTTAAAACAGTCAAAATAAATTACACCGAAAAGATATACTTGAAAAACTCACCAGGTTCTGTTTTCTACCTTAGTACTTGGCGTCTTTAGCCCCTTAATTATTTTATCTTTTTGTAATTTTCATATAAATATAATTTATAAAATTTATTTATTTTAGTCACGTATTTTATTTATGAAAATGTTTAAAAAGAGGAGAGACTATTATCTTTTTATTTTTTTTTATTTCCGTTTTCTTTCATTTTACAAATGTTTTTCTTAATTTTTAAAAAAGTAATTTATTTTGAGGGTTCTGAGTCTGCCAACGAAAACATGGCAACGACAAAATATCCAATTTCTTCATACGTAATTTTAGGAATTAGGGAGTGGAAAGTGGAGCTAATCGTTTACGGTAGTGTACATATACAAATAAAAACTTAATATAAAATTTTTAGGAAAAAATTTTTTTAAATTTTGATATAGAAAGAAATTCATAACCTTCAACGGTTTTTTTTCTTCGTTATTTTATTTTTTGTTAATAAAAAAGATTTGATAGATTTTGAACAACTATTCATTTTTTTCTATGAAAGAAGCGATTTAAATATTTTTCGCATAATATTCCAATTTAATGCTCATTGTGCAACAATGTAGAGAATGTATGCATTATTATTTATACCAAAATGTAATAAAAATTATTTTTTAGGAAATTGGTATTAATATTAGAATTTATGATTATAACTTTTTTTTTATCCAACACCAGTTTTATAAAAACGGCCCGATTAAGGTTTAATCATTAATTTTATGTAAACCTGGAAATTTTGCTCATATGGCATAATGGTTTGGACCTCTATATTTGCCAAATCTCTAGGAATATTATTTAGGCCAAAATCATAATCGGGTCGTTATTAAAAATTGAACTTTTTAACAACACTATCCCTACCTCTACAAATAATTGATTCTTTAAATAAAATAGTTATTTTATTCAATTATGAGTTTTGATGTAGTTTTTTTTTTAACATCTAGCACAATATTTTAGCCAATAAATTAAAAGGCATGGAGGTTTTGCTCGTAGATAGAAGAAGGGTTTGGACAACTATTTAAGAAATCTCGAGGCTTGCTTATTATTATTTTAGCTAAAATTTTAATCTAAAATTGGTTAATTCTAGCCGTTTAACCTTATATTTTACGAATTCGCGCTAACTATGATTGAGGGGTAACAACACTAAGTTTAGGAATCAAAAATTCTAAATAAATAGTAAATTATTAAAAATTTATAAACTTGTGAAATTTTGCTAAAATAAAAGTAATCAATATTAATTTATATTTTGCAGCATTTTGGAAATTTTAATGGAAGTTATTGGACATTTTCATATAAAAATTAATGATGTGAATCGTATTTGGATCTTGGAGCAGATACTTAGAGAAAAGGGAGCATTAGGATTTTAAAGTTTTCATATATAAAAATAGTTTTAAGCGCGTTTAGATATAAATTTTAGGCTGCATCCGATATCTAGATTCGCAAGTGTCGAAACTTTCAGAAGTAAAATTTTAAGAAAATAATGCTAAATTTTTAAGATAAATTTCTAGAATTATTATTTGGACATGGTTATTTCCCCTCTTCGATTAAAATTCTCGAATTTGATATTTTGGACAGTCTTTAATCTCAAATTACGAAGGCTACCTATCCAACAATTATCTTACACTTATACATATGTTTTAAAGTTATCAAACCTTTTTATGTAACATGTGTTTCCTCCCAGTTTAAATTAGGATGGTCAATACTAATTTTAAGAGTTTTTTTTAATATAAGAATAAACAATTATGTGCACCCCTTCCTTTTATTTACATTATTTTATTTATTTAAATTTAAACCATATTATATAAACTTGCGTAATTTGATTTGTTACTAGTTAGGCCTTATTTTAAAAAATATATAAATTTGAAGCGGCTCACAAATAATCACGCTCGTACCCTAAAATATTCAAATTTCACGAGGTTTTATTTTATATTATAAGAAAATTACTTTTAATTTTATTTTCTAAAGCGGAAGTCCTCAAACTAATCTTTTGTAAAATCTAAGGCTTATTAAAAAATAATATCTATTTAATGATAGAAAATACGTATATCGTATCGTAGTTTTTAGCTACACTATTACATTAGCAGGTGTAGACAATTAAATTTTTATTTATTTGTAAAAATTTTAACAAATTATATTATTTATTTATTTTTAAAATAATGAAAATAAAATTATTATTTAAAATACAAAAAAGAGGAGTACACAATAAAAAGAAATTTTGCGCGCATAAAACTTACTATTACTATACATTTACATACTATTTTTTTTTTGAAAAAATACGAAAACAAACAAACCTCTTATATAAAATTGAAACTTATTTTGAAATAAAAATAAACCCGAAATTGTATTAATATAATATTTATTTTGTAAATAATACAATTAAGCTAAATATATCCTTTATAATAAAAGCCGTCTCACAAAAATTGTCACATTTTTGAAAAAATGCAACAAGCCACTAGGTGGAATTGAAATAGCAACTAAATATTTGCCACAGCTGCCTACCACTATACCCTCACGAGTTCTTATGAATGAATGTATTTTTAATTCTATTAAATCTATAAATTATTTTAAAAATTAAATAATAATTAATATTATATACTTCTCATAAAATTTAATAAAAGTTTGTAAAGAATTTCTCATGCCCATCTGATAATATATATTTAGTGAATTTTGATTCAAAGAAGAAAAATGAGTCAGATTATTTGATTTGGGTAATAATAAATTACTGAGATTGAATGGTGATCATCTTCATTCAATATTTTATTGAATTTTGATTTATAGAAGAAAAATTAAAGTCAGATTATTAGATTTGGCAATAAGATATTCATATTGAGATTGAATAGTGAAATCCAAACACTTCTCATATCATACTGAGATTGAATGGTGTAATCCAAACACTTCTCATAAAATTTATATAAATTTATCCCCAAAAATAGTTCATAAAAAATTATATTGGGAAAAGAAACAGGAATATAGGAAATATAAAATGATAATTTATATTTTAGTGAAATAATAGTTTTCTGTTTATATCTACAATAAAATAAGTATTCATTGCTTGATGAAAAAAAAGACATATTTGAATTTGAAAGTTGCATGTGAGAAATATATATTTTAGTTAATTTTATTTTAACTAAATTATTTGACTTCTTTATAGGGATATTGTAAAATATTTATTCCTTTAACTTATTACATTTTCATTCAGCCTTTGAAATTTTTGTGACTATACAAAAAAATATATTATTTGACAGATCACTGTTTTTGCATACAATTCAGAATTTCTGTTTTATAACTAGAAGAACAAAAATATTCATACTTAAAATTAAAGAACAATATAAAACTTTATATAACTCAAGAAATTTTCT